GTGCCCGCTCTACACAAACTGGGTGAAGACCTCAGCCTCACTCCACAGTACCACAAGGACCGTGGTCTCTTCCTGGGACCAGTTGCAGCCCCAAGAGGCAACATATGGCATCGGGGATGATGCCAGCATGGCTCTCTAGATGACTCACTGGGCCTCTGCATAACAGTCCCAGTGCTGGTGGGACTGGGAAAGTGCCTGCAGTGCCCAGTGAAGGGGCATGGCGCAGGACAGGCAGGCTTGTGGCAATCCTATGCCAGGCACCAGCAGTGGGGTTCAGGCAGGCTGCTGCAGCTGGTCTGAGGCCAGCTGGAGCAGGACCCCATGGCCAGAGGCTGGCTGGAGGTAGCCTAGGGTGCTGCTGGGCCTGGCAGGTGCCTGCAACACCAAGCACAATGCAATGGTGCGGGCTTGGCACCTACATGGTCACAGTGTGCTAGGGACCAGCACCAGGGTCCAGTTTCCAGCCCCGTAGCCCTGGGGCTAGGTTGAGGGTAGCCTCCTGGTGGTGGGGCTGACCGGAAGCAAAGTTGCTCTTGGTCAGTGTCTACTGAGCAGTAACTACTTGGGAGTTAACTTGCTACTTGTATTTACAGGTAGCAAATTAACTCCCAAGTAGAGCAAATTAGTGCACTGTAAGTGTATGCACTTGTAGATGGTGATCCTTACTGCGAAATAATGTGCTCTACCGTGTAGTAAAGATTCTTGTGTAGACTTGCCCGCAAGAAACTAATGCTAGTATGGAAACTGCTACATGTTAAACCTTTGAGTAAGCCCAGGGTCATCCAGATGATTCAAGCATCCTGGGCGGGCTCTGAGGAAGTGAAATTGAAACAGTTTTCTGGGAAAGATTGTGGAATCTCCATCCTTGGTAATTTTTAAGTGCAGGTTAGACAAAGACCTAACTGGAATGGTTTAGTTGGGACAATCCTGACTTGAGCAGGGGTTTGGACTACATGACATCCAGAGGTCTCTCTCAATCCTACTATTCTATGTGTCTATGAAATACTAGGGCAGTTAATAAAAATCACAATGCCTAATCTGTTGTACTTATTTTTGATTAAGGGGCAGTATGGGTAGAATTAAGTGATTGGTGAGGCTATTCCGGTCTCAAATTCAATTTATTGAACACTTAAGCAATACCAAACTCCAGTCTATAATGGTGTCCATATACAGTCCTTTTAAATGATGTGCAGTGATCCAGCTGTCCAGGCACTGTCATAACACCAGGACTTGCAATCACTGTAGCTGGGTGTTGTTTGTTTCTCTGGCTTTCCAAGTGTTAAGCTTCTTCTTTGCCTAGGGTGACTGTAGCAGGTTCAAGCCATAGGGACAGCTGTGATGCCCCTGGTGGTTGTATGGTTCCTGTCAGCCTCTGCCTCTAAGGCCTCTACCCAGCACGCTGCTCTGCCCTGCCTCCACTGACTTGTGAGAGTTGGGGTGGGGGGTTGGCTGAGCCATGTCACAGATGTCCCGAATGAATGTTCTGGATGTTCTGGATTTCCTTGGGTTCACAAGCCTCCATTTATGGTGATGCCACAGGTTCCCACCAGTCACACCATCACAGCGGCTACCTCCCATTATTTTGTTACCCACATTCTGTCTTCAATTTTCTCATTGCTAAGTAGGCCATCTAAGTTAGGTCAACCCCAACCTGCTATGTGCTTTTCCCATATCCACTTAATGGCACTGGTTATGTCAAGGGGTGCCTATACATGAGCAGCAAGGCTGCTCCGATGCACATCAGAGCAGACTCAATTGAGTCTGCTGGAGTGTGGTAATTATCATGCTCCAGCAGACTCAAGCTTCTCATGTATCAGCATCCCCACCCTGAAAAATGGTGGCAGGGGTGCTTTAACTAAAGCTCATTGAATGAACTTTAGTTAAAGTGCCCCTGTTGCCATTTTTCAGTGTGGGGACACCGACGCACAAGATGCTCTGGGCACTTTAATTAGAGTGACTCTCAGAGCCGCTTTAATTAAAGACCTCCCTCTACCCACACCTCCTAGAGCAAGTGTATAAATGCCCCAGAACTCAAAATGGTATTGGTTATGTCAAAGCCTACATCTCACAAAAATTCTGGTTCTCCAAGTGCTTTTTACCTTTTTCAGAGCCATAGGTGACATGTAGGGGGAGCTTGTGCCCCCCCTGAGATTGGCCACTGCTGAAGCCTCCACCAGCTTCTGTAGGCAGTTGCCCCCCCTCACTGTTGATGTGGCTGATGGCGGATGTGAGCAGTCCCTGCTTGCTGCCTGCCACCCCCAACTTGCCGCCAAGATCACCGTAGCCACCTGTGGATGGTCCCCGCTTGCTGCCACCACACCGCTGCCACCAACACCGCTGTCTGTGGGTGGTCACTGTGCTCCCCCAGCCTCAGGAGGCACGTGTTGTTCATGCTCAGAGCACCTCCTAGTACAGCCTGACAGCTAAAACCATCAGCAAAGTGCTGGTTGAAAAAAAAAAAAAGAAGGAAAACTTATAAAATAACTATCAGTTGTTCCAAGGTTTGGAAATGTACAGTGAAGGCTTTTTGTATGTTCATACCTGTAGGATGTAGAGATGTGACCATGCTGGAATGTCCACTTTAAATCTAAAAATAAAACAAATACTTTTTTTTCTCTTAGGAGTTTGCAAATATCACTGTCAGTGACTCCAAAATTTCTTCAGCCAGTTCCTTCAGGACCCTGTGCTAAATTTTATTAGGTTCTGCTGAATTAAACCCATTCAAAATTCAATTTGTCATATTTATATTCTATTTGTCATAGAATATTAGCCTGCTAAAGTAACATGAGCATTTTATCAGTAAATATTTTAATTCATGTGATTAGGGATAGGAATATTACCAGATAAATTTTAAACCTTGGTATTGTTTTTATTTAAACTGACTGGTGAGCATTATAGTTAAAGAAATATTTTGTTAGAGATTCTCTCTCAGCCTTTCACTTCAGGAACTGGAGTTCCTTTTGAACTTCCCTGAAA